GGGAGGCGTGGGTTCAATTTCTGGCCCAAGAACCTCTGTACAGCCACCACTTGTCTCTCAGTGGAGGCTTGCGTGTTACTATGATGCTGAACAGGTTTCAGTGGAGCTTCCAGACTAAGATGGACTAGGAAGAAAGGCCTGGTGATGTACTTCCAAAAATGAGTCAGTGAAAACCCTATGGGACACACTGGTCTGCTCCATAACTGGCCATGGGGGTGGCACAGGAGTGGTAGCATTTCATTCTGTTGTGCATGGGGTCACCATGAATTGAGGGCCTGACTCGGTGGCAGCTAATGATGGATGAGTACAACAATCAGGGAATATAAATGATGTGCCAGGCACTTTGCTAAAGTCAACTCTAGTTTCTCATTTAATCTCCAAAACACCCCTGTGTGGTAGTGCTGCAAATCCTCATTTTACAGGGATGCTAAGACTGGCCCACGGCACTACAGCTAGTAAGGGGCAAAGCTAGGATCTGAATGCAAGAGAATTAGAACTCTAAAGCTGTGTTTTGAATACAGTGCTATGTAGTGAATAAACAGCAACCACTAGGGCTCTTAAACTTTGTTGTTTGTTACTACAGACCTTAATATGCTGCATGCAGAATGCAGTTTTCAAAGATCAAGTAACAAACTGTTTCCTTCCAACTATTATGACTCAGGTTTTGACCCCATGCCTACAAATGGAAGGCAGCCAAATGAAGAGCTACTGTTAACTCAATGAGATGGGACCTGAAGTCTGTCTGCTCTGCCCTGCCACCAGGCCAAGCCCCATATTTGGTGCCTCTTTTGGACTCACTGTCTCCAGTCCCTCTCCACTTTCCAATCTGTACTCCAGACCATGGACAGAAATAACTGTGTGAAACTTAAGTCTGTTAGAAAATCTCAATGGGTCATTGAGGCCACCAGAATAAAGTCCTTTCTGGGACAGGCAGTCGCTTCCCTAGCCTATCTGCCTAGTTCCTGTGGTCCAGCCGGTGCTGGATCACTCTGTGCCCAAACACTTGGTGCACTTTCATACCTTACCATTATTATTAGCCCTTGCCAGCGTCTCTACCCACAAGATGCTGGTCTCACTACCTTCTTTCTCCACCTGGCAAATGGCTTTCTTTCAAAGTCCAGTTCAAATGTCACTGCCTCTCCCTCAGCCTCCTTTGACCCAAAGTAGAATTTATCACTCCACTCATTTGGCTTCCCACAGCACCCAGTGCACAGGTGTATTCCACTCCTTCTCAGATACTGTTGACCTGCTGTGGAACACAATGCTGTCTGGTCCTGTGCCATCCCAGTGACGGCCTGTGACACGATCAGATTGATGTGATCCATAGAGTTTTCGCTGGCTGCCTTTCAGCAGTAGATTGCCAGACTTTTCTTCCTAGTCTTAGTCTGGAAGCTCTGCTGAAACTCCCCCAGCATCACAGCATCACACCAACCTCCACTGAAAGACAAATGGTGGCTGTGCATTAAGCTGCATTGCCAGGAACTAAACCTGGATCTCCCCATGGAAGGCAAGAATTTCACCACTCAGCCACTAAAGCCTGCTGTCACACTAGGTGTTTGTTGTTAGATACTGTTGAGTTGGTACTGACTCCTAGTGACCCTGTGTGCAACAGAATGAAACACTGCCTGGACTTGGACCATCTTCACAATCATTCCTATGTTTGAGCCCATTGTTGCAGCCGCTGTGTCAATCTATCTTGTTGAGGGTCTTCCTCTTTTCTCTGACTCTCTACCAAGTGTTCTTGTTACCTAGTGCTGCTCTGACAAGAATATACCACAAATGGGATGGCTTGAAGAAACAGGAGTTTATTCTCTCACAATTCAGGAGGCTAGAAGTCTAAGTTCAAAGTGCCAGCCTCTAGGGGCTGGGTGAAAGCCCCTCAACGCTGGGGTCCAGCTCTGCCTCCTGCTCCTGGCCGACTGAAGCTAGAGGTGTTTCTTCACTCAGACAGCTGCTGGCTGCTGAGGCTGAAAAACGATTGACAAGTAAAAAGGCACAGTCCCAATGTTACCAAACCAAATGGTAGGCCATTAATTCAAATTCACTGAAAGTACCAAGGTTGGCAGAGCATGGCAGGCTGCTGAACAATGACATGGCTACATGCAGGGTCCAAGTGTGCCATAAACTAGAGACCATTAACCAAGGCTTCTGCTTATATACAGGAAGCAGACCACATTCCCTAGGTAGCTACTCAGCTGCTCACAGTAGATTCCACCATGGAGTTGATTACCAGTCTTATCATGGGGAATACTACATCCGGCTGCTGAGCCACTCAACCAGGCCCAGCCAAGCTGACACACAAACTTAACCACCACACCAAGTATGATGTCCTTCTCCAGGGATTGGTTCATTCTGGTAACACATCCAAAGTATGTGAGATGAAGGTTTGCCATCCTCACTTCTAAGGAGCATTCTGGTCGTACTTCATCCAAGGCAGGTTTGTTTGTTCTTCTGGTAGTCCATGGTATATTCGGTGTTCTTTACCAACACCACAATTTAAATGTATCTATTTTTCTTCAGTCTTCCTTATTCATTGTTCAGCTTTTGCATGCAGATGAGGCAAGTGAAAATACCATGGCTTGGGTCAGGCACAACTTAGTCCTCAAAGTGACATCTTCACTTTTTAACACTTTAAAGAGTTTTTTTTTTTTTCTTTTGGGGGGGAGTAGCAGATTTGCCCATTGAAATATGTTCTTTGCTTTCTTGACTGCTGCTTCTGTTGGCATTGATTGTGAAATCTTTGACAATTCCAATCTTTTCTTTGTTTATCATGATGTTGCTTATTGGTCCAGTGGTAAGGATTTTTTTGTTTATACTGAGGTGTAATTCATACTGAAAGCTGTAGTCTTTGATCTTCATCAGGAAGTACTTCAAGTCCTCTTTGCTTTCAGCAAGTCAAGGTTGTGTCATCTTGCATACTGTAGGTTGTGTGAGTCTTCCTCCACTTCTGATGTTGTGTCCTTCACATAGTCCAGCTTCTCAGATTATTTGCTCAGCATACTGAATAAGTATGGTGAAAGGATAGTCCTGCCATACATTTCCTAATTTTAAACTACAAAACATTCCTTTGTTCTGTTTGAACCAGTCTTTTGATCTATGTATAGGTTCCATCTGAGTACAATGAAGTGTTCCGGAATTCCCTTTCTCCGCAATGTTATCCATAATTTGTTATAATCCATACAGTCAAATGCCTTTGCAGTCAATACAACACAGGTCAACATCTTTCTGGTATTCTCTGATTTTAGCCAAAATCCATCTGACACCAGCAATACCTCTCGTTCACATGCTCTTCTGAATCTGGCTTGAATTTCTGGCAATTCCCTGTTGATATACTGCTGCCATCATTTTTGAATTATGTTCAGCAAAATTTTACTTGTGTATATTAATGATATGTTCTATAATTTCTGCATTTTATTGGATCTTTCTTTGGAATGGGCACAAATATGATCTCTTCAAGTTGGTTTTGTTGTTGTTGTTATTTTGCCAGTCAGCCCCGACTCATAGCGACCCCTCCTTGGGTTTCCGAGGCAGTATCACTACAGAAGTAGATTGCCCAACCTTCGGTTTGAACCACCAGCCTTCTGGTTAGCAGTCAAGTGCCTTAGGCACTATGCTACCAGAGCTCCTTCAAGTTCGCCAACCTTTTTTTTTTTTTTAAACATTATAGTACACAAAGACAATAGCATTTTATGACATGCTCAGTTAACAGTCTTCCAAATTTCTTGGCATAGATGAGTAAGCACTTCTAGCATTGCATCCATTTGTTGAAACATCTCAATTGGTATTCTGTCAATTCCTGAGGACTTGTTTTTCACCAGTGCTTCAGTGTAGCTTTGGCTTCTTTCTTCAATACTATTATTTCTTGATTATATACATCCTGAACATATATATACATATGTACATCCTGAAATGGCTGGACACAGATTAACCCTTTTTGGTACAGTGACTGTATATTCTATCTTCTTTTGATATTCCCTGTGTCATTCAATATTTTGCCCATAAACCAAAAAGAAAACCAAACTCACTGCTGTCAGGTTGATTCTGGCTCATAGTGATCCCTCCCCTTGGGTTCCATGGTAGTATCTCTACGGAAGTATATTGCCCAACGTTCCTTCTGAGGAGTGGCTGGTGGGTTTGAACTGCCAGCCTTCTGGTTAGCAGTCAAATGACTTAGGCACTACACCACCAGAGCTCCCATTGGAACTCTTCAATATTGCCTTGAACTTGATTTTTTTCTATAGTTCTCTCAGCTTGAGAAATGCTGAGCATGTTCTTTCCTTTTGGTTTTCTAACTCTAGGTCTTTACACATTTTATTAAACTTCTTGAGCTCTTGGAAATCTGTTCATCTCTTTTACTTCATTTCTTCCATTTGCTTTAGCTATTCTACATTCAAGAGCAAGTTTCAGAGTCTCTTCTGACATCCATTTTGTTCTTTTCTTTCTTTACTATTTCTTTGATGACCCTTTGTTTCCTTCATGTATGATGTCCTTGATATCATCCCACCACTCATCTGGTCTTTGATCATTAGTACTCAATGTGGCAAATCTTGATTGAGATGGTCTCTAGATTCTGGTGGGATAAACTCAAGGTCACCCTTTTTCTTCCAGCTGCCCCCCAACCCAATTGTGGTGTATTGCCATGGTGGAAATTTTGTATTATAAATAACATAAATACCGTACATAAAATACTACTACTCATACATAAAAAACGTGTATGTTTTTACAAGCTTAGAAGTTATAGTAGAGGTAGCAGCCTGCACAGAAACTTTCCAATCACAAAGACATGAAACAAATAAGTAACTAAGTTACTCCTTGGAGATAATAAAACCTTGGGTGAGTTTGGCTCTATGGCATCTGTCTCTAAAATATGTTATGAGATTGTAACTGGGAATAATTAATTCAGTTACATGACCTTCTCTCTTTCAAGGTTTGTGTTTTTTTGAGTGTCTCCCCAAAGATAGTACATTGTATCAAACTTGCGGCAGAAACAAATGTGTTATCTTTCAATAAAAAAGTATAATTCCATTTTATTAATATGAAATATTTTGATATAATTCATAATATTTGTGGACTAAGTGCATGATTCTCAAATAAAACGATTTTAGCACAATCATGTAACATAATCAAACACTCACTTAGTAAAGCCAATGTCTATTAGACCCCAGAGGTGTGGGAAGGCACTTTCTCTTTTGGTATAGACATAAGATACAGCTTCACTGGCCATTTCTTTACTGGAGTTCATTCTGATTCCCTTTTGTCAGATTCTTCCTCCTCAAACTCAACTAAAGGAGCATGTCTGTTGGCCTGAGAGCCTTCTTTGTAGAAAATTTTCTTTATTGTGCCATCCTTTGGAGCCTTTATGGTATGCTGCAGAAGGAAAGAAAGACCAACAAACAATAGTTACAACACTAACAAGGCCTGAGTATGTACTATGCTAAGAAAGCCAGGAGAAAAGTGAAAAATGTGTCCAATTGTTTTGATGTTTTATAGTCATGTTTTCCAACTTTTTTTTTTTTAACATCATAGCACACAAAGATAACACTTTATGGCATGCTCAGGGGCTGACAGGAAGTGCTGCCTTGGCAAACCTGTAACTCATTCACAGCACGGAAGATCTGGTCTAGCAGGCAGTTCTCACTCAAGCTTCACATTAGAATCTCATTTGGACAGCTTTTAAAAAGTACCATCCTTGAGACCCAGTCCCAGAGATCCCAACTCAGCTGGTCTCAGGAAGTAGTTTATTAAAGCTCCCCAGGTGATTATAATATGCAGCCAGGGCTGAGAATCATGGGTCTCCAAATCCAATCATCTAAAAAGTGTAAACAGCTAATTTTATTTGGTTAAGGTTTTTCACTTTGCTATTAATACCTGGCAGGAGCAATGGTATAGCAGTGGTTAAAGCACTCAGCTGCCTATGGCAACATTGACAATTCAAACCCACTAGCTGCTCCTGGGAAGAAAGATGTGGTTGTCTGCTTCTACAAAGATTACAGCCTTGGAAACTTGATGGGGCATTTCTAATCTGTCCTGTAGGGTTGCTGTGAGGAGGAATCAACTCCGTAGCAACAGGTTTGATTTGGGTTGATGCCTAGCATCCTAAGTTCAGCCCTAGAAAATACCAATATTTACATTTAGTTGGGCTTGTGTCTCATTCCGAGTTATTGATAATTTCAGCATCAGAAATAATAGGTGTGATGGTGCGATTTCACAAGATCAAAATCACAATGTATTTATGAAAAGAATGGGTTGGTTTTGTTTCCTGAAGTTAATGCTTAAACAATCCATGGTTCTAAATATTTAAAATGGTCTTAACTTATAAATCAGGCAAAAGAACACTTAGTTCCAAAGCTTCCTAAGTTTACATGGCAACTGAATGTGTGATTTCACTCACCTCCATTTTCATGGCGATCATAACCATCAGAGAATCTCCAGCTTTTACTTTGTCTCCAGCTTTCACAAATACCTAGAGGTTCAGAGTAACACATCAGTATTTAAAAGCAGGTCCTCTGTGGTCCACAGAGCTGGTATGTAAACATACACAGAAGTATGGGTGTACGCCTACTCAAGACAAAGGTACTGGTGCAAACTGGAGACCTATAGATGAATCTGGTATCACTGGTGCTGTTGTCAGTGGGGGTCCTACCACCTCCAAAACCATCTAATTTTGCGTGCATCAGATAAATATGTTGTATATATCTCGGAATTTTTTGATTTTTCATGAAAATACGGACAAGATACCCTATCAATGTTGTTGTTATGTGCTGTCAAGTTGTCTCTGACTCATAGCAACCCTATGCACAACAGAATGAAACACTGCCCAGTCCTGTGTTAGCCCCACAATCCCTGCTATACCTGAGCCCATCATTGCAGCCACTGTGTCAATCCATCTTGGGTATTTTTTGTTGACCCTCCACTTTACCAAACATGTTATCATTCTCCAGGGAATGGTCCCTTCTGACAACATGACCAAGTAGGTGAGATGAAGTCTGGCCATTCTTACTTCCAAGGAGCATTCCAGCTGCACTTCTTCCATGGCAGATTTGTTAGTTCTTTTAGCAGTCCATGGTACCTTCAGCATTCTTTGCTAACACCACAATTCAAAAGTATTGAGTCTTCTTCAGTCTTCCTTATCCATTGTCCAGCTCTCACATGCATATGAGGTGATTGAAAATACCTTGCTTGGGTTAGGTGCACCTTAGTCTTCAAGAAGATATCTTTGCTCTTCAGCACTTGAAAGAGGTCTTTTGCAGCAGATTTGCCCAGTGCAATATGTCGCTTGATGTCTTCACTGCTGCTTCCACTGGTGTTGATTGTAGAACCAAGTAATATGAAGTCTTTAACAGCTTTACTTATTGGTTCAGTTATGAGGATTTTTGTTTTCTTTATACTAAGGTGTAATCCAGACTGTAGTCTTCAATCCTCATCAGTAAATGCTTCAGGTCATCCTCACTTTCAGCAAGCAAACTTGTGTCACCTGCATATCACAGGTTGTTAATGATTCTTCCTCCAATCCTGATGCCATGTTCTTCTGCATATAGTCCAGCTTCTCTGATTATTTGCTCAGCATACAGATCGAATAAGTATTGTGAAAGGATACAACCCTGATGTGCTCCTTTCCTGATTTTAAAGCATGCAGTATCCCTTGTTCTGTTTGGATGACAGCTTCCTGGTCTATGGACAGGTTCCTCATGAGTACAATTAAGTGTTCTGGAATTCCCTTTCTTCTCAATATTATCCATAATTTGTTATGATCAACACAATCAAATGCTTTTGCATAGTCAATATTGACCCTATCGATAGGGAAGGAGTAAATATACTTAAGTGTCTTTACTACAGGCAGGGTAGAGGGATGAGGACCTTGACTGGGTTTTCTAGTTTCTGTTGTCTAGGATAGTGTTTCAAGTCTTCAATGCCTTGTGTTATAAATGTGTAGACAATCTTCATGTGAAAGAGTTACACTTATTGGCAACCCCAGAAAAAAATCTCTATTTTCCTTTTTGCATATATAAATGAACTTCCGTATTCCATATGGTCTGTCTTATTGGTTAACTCGGTTATCAAGGAGTTTTTGGAAACATTATATCCTATAGCAGAAATAGGTTCTAAAGTCAGTGTGTAGACCAAAAATTGTGAACAGTCAGAAACACCCCTGAAAGCTCTGTAAATTACGCCCTGCTGGGTGGTGCTTAGTAGAGCCAGATGCAATCAATGGCCTGGGTTTAGGGGCCAGTTAAAGGGAAAATATGGATCTTTAAACATAAGACCAATACCCTATGCAGAGATGCCCACACTAGGAGAGGCCTGTGGAACTGAGATCAAATGAGCTAAAAGCAGATCCAGGCCTCCTATCTCATATACCTCTAGGGTAAATATTCCCAGAAGGAAATAGTAGGTGATGTCGCCCACATTTTTTAAATAGTTACCTCTCTTCCCCACCTCTTTTTTTTTTTTTGGTACCAAGAATATACCAAGTTGATTATTTATGACTTAAATGCATTTGAAAGGATTTCCCTGTATTTAAGTATACAAACTAATCTACCACCATTTGAAATTACATCAGTGTGGATGTCGACTCTGAATATACAATTACATCCCAAGCCAAGTCATACTGTTCTTCACCAATAAAGACTTTTCAAATTTTATTTTAACACAGGTGTGATTGTGTACTTTAGAGGAAACAGCATTATTTTATGATAAAATCATTTGCTGTTAAATATAAAATTAAAAACTGGCCCTTTTGGATAATGGTAGGCGAATGCTACATTTTAAACATAAAAATACAATATGGATTATTTGTCAACTTGATGGAAATTCCTACCTTCAAAAACAGTAGTCTTTACTGCAAATTGAAAAAAAAACACCAGCTAACTCATTGCAGCTGAGTTGATTGCAACTCATAGCAATCTTCCTCCAATCCTGATGCCATGTTCTTCTTCATACAGTCCAGCTTCTCTGATTATTTGCTCAGCATACAGATTGAATAAGTATTGTGAAAGGATACAACCCTGATGTGCTCCTTTCCTGATTTTAAAGCATGCAGTATCCCTTGTTCTGTTCGGACGACAGCTTCCTGGTCTATGTACAGGTTCCTCATGAGTACAAACCCTCTTTGGGTTTCTGAGGCAGCATCTCTACAGAAGTAGATTGTCCAGTCTTCCTTCGGAGGAGTGGCTAGTGGGTTTGAACCACCAGCCTTCTGGTTAGCAGTCAAGTGCCTTAGGCACTGTGCTACCAGAGCTCCCAAAGGTAAGTAGGTATTTTCACTGAAGACTGTAATATAGAACTTGAATCTCTAACAGATCTTTTTTTCTTGAAATGGATGCTTCCCAAGAGCAAGATTTAGGGAAGGAGAAAGGAGATATATGACAAAGTTCAACAAAGACATTTATTAAACTTTATTGGGTATCATTCTAGATTCGTCACATGATTACCTTTTCAATGGTTCCAGCCATAGGAGCTACAGCACCTCCTTGAGTTCCTTCAGAGCTCACTGAAGATAGGTATTTGGGTACTGGAATGTCAATCTGAACACTTCCTTCCTATAAATAGAAAACAAACCTAAAATGGAATCAAGATTCTACCACTATATCTTTACTATTATGCCTGAGGTAATAATGATTGCTTTCAAACAATTTGTTAAATACTTAAAAAAAAAAGTTGCCGTTCAGTTGATTCTGACTTGTGGCAACCCCCGTCTGTCAGAGTAGAACCATGCTCCAAAGAGTTTACAATGGCTTTTTCAAAAGGAGATGGCCAGGGCTTTCTTCTAAAATGTCTCTGGATACACTCAGATCTCCAACCTTCCCATTAGCAGCTAAGCATATAAACCACTTGCATCATCAGGGTTCTAATCTGGCTTTGTGACCTTCAGCAAATTACTAAACCTCTCTCAGTCTTGGTTTCCCATTATAAACAAGTAACAGTGTACATGCCTCACAAGAGATTAAAAATAATGTGTACAGATAGTATTCAGGTTATGAACGTCCCCCTACTTATGTACAATCTGTAGTTATGAACCAATTCCCGCAAAGTCTGTTGTATTAAAAATTTGATGTACATACAATGGTTCATAACAACAAACAGGAGTTACTTTGTGATGTGCATCAAAACACTATTATTATTATTGTATTATTATGTTTTACTATAACTGGAAGTATTTCTTTAATGTCTTTTATGCATAGAAAAGTACAACACAGTATATACTAAGATAAACATTTGACTACCTGATGTAAGATGCAAACTGTACCTAACTGTTCTGACTTACATACAAATAACTGTTCTGACTTACATACAAATTTGACTTAAAGACAGATTTAGAAAGAGAACTCATCAGTAATCCAGAGACTGTCTGTACAGCTGTACGTAACAGACAGCACATGACTAGAAGCCATATTTAGTAGCATCCTCACTATCAGGGTAACGCTGTGGCAATCATTTGTCAAGTGCTTAATCTGTGCCAGGAATTATTCTTAACACTTATGCAGATAATGTCATTTAATCATCACAACAACCTTATGTGTTCTGTTGTCCCAGTTTACAGATGGGGGAACTGAAGCACAGAGTTTAACTTGCCCAAGGCAACATGGCTAATCACTAGCAAGGCCAGATTTGTTCTAAAGCACCTTCATTCCATAACTCATGCTTTTTATCACTCCACTATACTGCTTCTAAGGAGCCCTTGCAGTGCAGTGGTTCAGGTGCTCAGCTACTAACTGAAAGGTCAGCATTTCAAATCCACCAGCTGCTCCACAGGAGAAAGATGTGGCAGTCTGCTCCCATAAAGATTTACAGCCATGGAAACCCTATGGTGCATTTGTAAGCTGTTGAGTTGGAATTGACTCAATGGTAATGGGGATACTGCCTCCTCCATCATATTGTTATAGCATGACTAATGAAAGGAATTCCTTATAAAGTTAGGTCATCTTAGATTCCACACATAGTTAAAAAAAAAAAACAAAAAACTCACTGCCGTCAAGTTGATTCCACTCATAGCAACCCCTCCTTGGGTTTCTGAGGTGGTATCACTATGGAAGTAGATTGCCCAATCTTCCTTCCAAGGAGTGGCTGGTGTGGGTTTGAACCACCAGCCTTCTGGTTAGCAGTCAAATGCCTTAGGCACTACACCACCAGAGCTCCTACATACACAACAGTAGTTATTGAAATACTAAAAGCATCTCATTCTACAGCAGTCTGATATGTGAAGGCTCCATAGAGGCCCATGTAGAATGCTAAGAACTCATTGAGGAGCAGGCTCCTAACTGAACACAAGGGTCTAAGAAATAATCTCCTAACCAAACCCACACAAAGCCTGCCTGGACCCTTCTTTGACTGCCAAGAGACCACCACCACTCCACCTGCCTTCCTACTGTCCACTTGCCTCACAAGCAACATCTGGTTCACTCATCTTTCAGTGCACTTCCTCCCAAATCACCAGAACTGCTAGTGTCAGGGGGGTGGTGGTTGCGGAAAAGCATTCAGGTATCAAAGCTCTGAGAGAATACCCTCTCTGACAAAGAGGGTGTGAGGACATTTTTCAGAATTAAGGGAAATGGATATGTGTATATCCACAAGAATCTATGGAATAAAAGGGGCAAATGGAGAAACAGAAGAGGAATGAGTGTGGCAAAGAAACACAGAGTGGAGAGGGAGACTGAGGGATAAAAGGTCACAGAACAGTTGGAGGAAGCTGGATCCTTCTAATCTCTTTTAGTGGAAAGCCTCGGTCAAATAGTTTTCACCCAAACCCCAACAGCGATTATTATAAAGAAGAAGCATCACCATAGAAAATAGGTAAATCGTGTTTTCCAGGATAATTAGCTTAGCTTTACTGGAAACTCCATCAACAGAACATTTCAGATAAGTGCAGTCCTCCTCACTATAAAGATCGCCAAGGACTTGGAAAGTTTTATCATCAATCTGAAAAAACAGAAAAATAAGGTGCTTAAAATAAATGAACAACTTACAGAATTAATAAAATCAGAATCAATTCCTCATTATTAGTAGTTTTAAGAGATAACCTGTAAAATATGGAAAAAAAAAAAAGTCACATGGAAACTTAATGATTCCTAAATGAAATATTCTGGGAAACACCAGTAAGATAATTAAAAGAAAAACATTAATTACATAATATGTCATAGCACCATAATGCTATAGATAAAACTTCATTTTAAAATAGAAAGAATAGCACTAAAAAAGTAAAATAAAAATCCAAATAAAATTAGGCAAAATGATTATCATATCACTCAGTGAGTATATTATATATTAGTATTCCATTCTAAGTATCCCATGTCAACTTTGGTTTTACAGTGCCAAAGCCAGAACCACATAATTGGAATGTTATTTCTTTTATCTCACCACCATGTAGGTCCAATTAACTGGCTTCCAGTTAAGAAAATAAATTAGCCGGAGACTGATCACATTTTTTTTTTCACTTTAGGAAAGAGAGTGCCAGAGAACAGATTTCACACTTAACCTTTCAAAGAAGCTGACAAAAGGACATGGAATCTTTCCTTTTTAAAGAATGTTTTCTCACATATACACTTAAGAAAAAAGTCTTTCACACACATCTCTATTTTTTTCATTTTGATTCTCATGATGTTCTTGTAGAAGACCTGTGGCCATTCTTTTCAATTATGTAGACTAAGGGGAAACAGGTCACACATAGTGATATTTATATACTGGCTCTTGTCTATTTTAAGTTAAATATGACATTTTAGGCTTCCTTGTAACCTACTAAAATAGCCTTCTGAATGTCTGTGGAATCCTCAAGACATAAAGGTTGGACTGGGAACAGTTTTGGGAACAGGTTTATAAAAGCACATTGTATATTTGTCCACATAGTTCTGTGAGCAGATTAGAACAAATCTGCAATGGATTTTACCATTTACCAAGGAGCAGACAGGGGAACAGAAGAGGTGCCAAATCAGAGGCACCAATATAAATTAAAATTCTCATATGCTAAGGAGGTTGACTTCCCATTCATTTTTCTGCATTTCACAGAAAGAAAATTAAGGTATCTTGAAGTGTTGGGGAGTCTAAAACATATCACTGATAAACTCATTTTGCAGGATTTGAACTTCCTTGGCTCCTATCAAAAATGACTTATTCTAGTCCTTGAATTTGTATCTTACTATAGGAATGAGGGTAAGTTCCTGCTTTGTGTTTTAACCTTTTTAGCATTTCATTTTGTCAGTGTAATGAACAACTTCTTTTAACTGAAGGCTATCATCAACTTTTAGGAGCTCTGGTAGCACAGTGCCTAAGGCACTTGACTGCTAACCAGAAGGCTGGTGGTTCAAACCCACCAGCCACTCCTCAGTAGGAAGGTTGGGCAATCTACTTCCATAGTGATACCGCCTCAGAAACCCAAGGAGGGGTTGCTATGAGTTGGGTCTGACTCCACAGCACACAACAACAACAACAACTTTTAGACCAGAAGTCCTCAAAGTACACTCTGAAGATCCTTTATAGCTCCCAAGATCCTGTAGGGGTCAACAGAGTCAAAAGCATTTTCATAATAATACTAAGATATCATTTCCCTTTTAGCCCCCATTCTTTCATGCATGTATGATGGAACCTTCTAGCAGCTATAGGACACATGGCAGATAATGTTATTGCTCTGACAGCTAATACAGAACATGTCCTTGTGTAGTCTTAAGCTTTTCTCAGTTTTAATACGGTATATTACTATTCATATACCCACCAGCCACTCCTCGGAAGGAAGATGGGGCAATCTACTTCCGTAGTGATACTGCCTCGGAAACCCAAGGAGGGGTCACTATGAGTCGGGGCCGACTCGATGGCACATAACAACAACAACAACAATATTACTATTCATAATTTACATTAACAAAAGCCCTTTGTTATTGCTGTTGTTATGTCCCATCAAGTCGGACCTGACTAATAGCAACCCCTCCTTGGATTTCCGAGGCCGTATCACTAAGGAAGTAGATTGTCCAACCTTTAGGGGCTTCAATAATTTTAAATTGTGTAAAGCATGTAAAGGAGATCAAAATGTTTGAGACCTGCTGCTTTAAATGGTAAGTCCGCACATCTATTTTAGGGGCTTGTTAGGTGTCTGATTCCAGGCTACTATTTTTGCCAAGTTTTTATTCTTAAGGGAATCACAGCCAAATGACTAAGTCAAACTGAGTTAGAAATTGTGTATGAGGTAATTTCTCCAAACCGCTCTGAAATAATAGCACAAGACATTCTCCCAGCTATGATAATAATCACTGGCTTAAAAGAAATCAGAAAGTGAGAAAAGACTCTACTCAGTGTGTGAGAGATTAGATTTAGCTCTGAACTGTATAATAAAACCAATAAAGCTTACCTGCATGCTATATGATCCATCGTGGTTATACGTTACAGCTATGGCTACATCTTTACAACAAAAGGTGAAAAATTAAAGAATAATTAGAAGACGTATGATTCAATTAACTGAGATTCCAAAAACATCTTACTTTCAGTCTAAATATAACCGGTGGTTCACAGGGAAGTCAACCTCTCTTAACTCTCTGGCAAAGAGACTTTCTGTTTATATACATGTCAAACAGGTTTCAATTAAGGGTAAATTTCAAACTTTTCTTTTTTGAAAACAGAGTTTTAGATCTTTAAGCTTATAGGATATTTCAGTTATTTCTCCCTCAACAAGAAAAGCTGCAGTGTTAAAATTTCAAACACAATGAATTGGTTAAAGAGAAGTTCTGGTTTCAGACACAAATCTGCCACCTCTGACATGATTGCTTCTGTGATCTTGACTAGTCTCTTAAATTCTCTGAGCCTTGATATCTTGAGTCATTAAATGGATATGTGAATATAACGATGATCAGATAAAAGTGACAGTGCTGTATAAACTATAACAGACTATACAAATACAAGAAATTTTTCATGTTATTCCCAGTGAAGATAGAATAGGTTGTATCACCCAGGGACCTCTGAAGACTATCTCAGAAGATGGAAATCAAAAGCTTTGTGGGAAAGATAGAGGCCAGAGTCCTTTCATTTACTCCTGACATGTCTACCATCATTTTGATGCTGCAGTTCTAATTTGTTTGCAGCACCGACCTTCCTTCTCCAGAACTCCGAGTCATTTCCAGCTGGATGCTCTGTGGTGGGTCCAATAAATCATCTTCCCTTCCTGACCTGGGAGCTCCATGACTGGCACAGCTATTCTTTTGGTCACCCAGGCTTAAAGCCTGTCATTCTTGCCTCTTCTATATCTTGTGTTCCACACCCAATAGTTATCAAGAGCTGCTAAATTCTCACTTTGATTACCTGACCTACACATCTCTTCCTTTCCATTTCCACTGCTCTGCCCTGACTTGAGCCCCACTGCCTGAGGAGGTGGTCCCAGGCCTTCCTGCTCCCTGCCTCGACCCCTCCTGGTGAAGCTTTCTACCATGCTGGACTCAGGGCCCCATCACACTGAAAATACTTGGCTTGGTACCGCAGGCCCCAAACCTCAGTCTTATTTCTCACTATCTCCTCTATGATCCCATGCTCCAACCAAATGGGAAAACAGACCAATTAATTTTCCTGACAGACCGCTCTAGCTTTGCCTTCGCTGTACCTTTTACTCTTGCTCCTCCTTGGCTATACTGCTGGTCCCCAATCCACTGAAACCCCACCCCTCGTTCCATTCACACCCTGCTCACTGTTCTTGGGAAGAGCCTGCCTCAGCAGAGTGAATTCTCCCTCCTCTGAACCTCTGCATATAAACCACCATTATCATTATCATTCTCCCCTATTTTATAAAAAAGACTTTTCTTGTTTTATTAAAAATTATGAAAGTAAAAATACTCACAAGTCCAATACTGACTCATATAAAGTAAAAAAATGAAAGATCTCCCACTTGCTCAGGAGTAACTACCATTAGTCTTGAATATGTAACTCCTTTTTAGTCTTTTTATTTTCTAATTGTGGTAAATATATATGTAATAAAACGTTTGCCATTTCAATATATTTTACATGTATAATTCAGTGACATTAACTATGTTCATCTTGTTGTTCAACAATCATTACTATTCATTTCCAATCACTCTTAGTAAAAGCTGTGTGTCCTCTACACAATGACTGCCCCACCCCCTCCTGCCTGCCCCCGGTAACCACTAGTACAGTTTGGTCTCTATACACTTGCTTATCCTGGATTTTTTCATATAAATGGGATCACAGAATATCTGTCTTTTTGTGACTGACTGACTTCACTCAGCATGTATGTTTTCAAGGGCCATCTGTGTTGTAGCATGTGTCAGCACTTCATTTCTCTTTATGGCTGAGTAATACTCCATCATACGTATATACCACATTTTGTTGATTAATTCATCTGTTGATGGACATTTAGGTTGCTTCCATCTTTTGGCTATTGTGAATAGTGCTGAAATGAACACTGCTGCACAAATATCTGTATGTGTTCCTGCTTTAAATTATTTTGGGACATACCTAGGAGAATTGTTGGATTATATGTTTAGTTTTTGGAGGAACTACTAAACTGTTTTCCACAGTAGTTGGACCATTTTATAATCTCACCAGCAATGATGAGGGTTCCAATTTCTCCACATCCTCACCAATATCTGTTGGTTTCCTTTCTTTTAATCATAGCCTTTTTAATAGGCATGAGGTGTTATCTCAATGTGGTTTTGATCTGTATTTCCCTAATGATGCTGAACATCTTCTCATGTGCTTAATGGTCACTTTTTTTTTCCTTTGGTGAAATGTCTATTTAAGTTCTCTATCATTTTATGATTAGATTATTTATTTTTCTGTTGTTATAGGAGTTTTTTTTTTTTTTTTAAATATATTCTGGGGATTATTCCCTATTCAGATCTTTCTAAATGTACATTCATTTTTCTTTTATAAAAATAGGATTATGTTATACATATTGTTCTGCAACCAACTTTTTAAAGTTAACACGTGAATCCAGATCTATTTTGTTTTTTTAAAATAGCTGTAAGGGGATATGCTTTAATAATAATGGTGATGATAGCTAAGGCATTTGACTGCTAACCAGGAGGCTGGATGTTCAAACCCACAGCCACTCCTTGGAAGGAAGGTTCGGCAATCTATTTCCATAGTGACAATGCCTGCGAAACCCAAGGAGGGGTCGCTATGAGTTGGATCTGACTCGATGGCAGTGTGTTGTGTTGCATTAACTATATGCTATAAACAAAACCAAACTCATTGCTTATGAGTCAATTCTTACTCACAGCAACCCCCATTAGGTTTCCAAGGTGGTAAATCTTTACGGAAGTAGATTGCCCCATCCTCCTTCTGCAGAGCAGCTGGTGGGTTTGAACCACCAACCTACCGGTTAGCAGTAAAATGCCTTAAGCACTGCACCACCAGAGCTCCTTAACTATATGCTATACAATGAGCTGAATGTTTACTTTTATTGTCTCACTCAATCCCCACAACAATCCTAGGAAATAATTACTACTACCATCCCACATACAGTCAAGGACACATGAAGTGTAGAAAGTAGAGTGACTTGCCCAAGAGTCACAGAAGAGAGTCAGGATCTGTACCCATACAGTCTCCATCTTTCCAACATATACATTTCTCCTTTGCTAAATGGTAAATTCCTTGAGAGGAAAAACGAGGACAAAGACTTTTCCCTTCTCCTTCTCCACATCACTTAGCATATTTATTTTTCCAAAAGCTTTGTACTGAATAAATATGAATAAATGAACTTTTCCACCCTCTGTTATCAACATTCTTTAATCTCTCCCAAGAGAAGATGCCTCCAATTATAGCAGATCAGTTTTTTCTCAATTTATAAAACATAAATGTATTTAACTGACATGAATGCCAGTAGAACCATAGTAAAGATATAGCCAGGAAAACTCTTTTTTTTTTTTTGTATTATAGGGTAATTGGAATTGTTTCTCTTTCTCCTACATATCTCTTGTCTCCCACAAGAAAACCTGAAACATCCTCATATGTGTTTTATGGAAGGAAGTTTGGTATGGTGTGGCATTAGTTGAACACATATACCTTGGAGCATTGGTTCAAATCCTGACGCTATCACTTACTTTTGGTGTGACTTTTGGAAAATTACTAATACCTCAATGCCTTGGATTCCCCAGTTAGAGAGTTGACATTAAGATTAACACCTATCTCATCAGCTTGTTCTGAACAGGTACAAGGCAGGCTGCTGGGAAACATGGCCACTAGTAACAAAGTAAGAGCACTTTGAAGCCTTCAGTATTTAAAACACTCGGTTCTTCACAGTAAGATTATTAAAAGTTGGCTCTCCTTTAGATTCATAAATGCTTTTGGGCCCTTGGGCTTCCTGTTTGGTATACTCTCTTATCCAATGATAGGTCACTGCTGATTAGCATTTATAAGAGACTACCAAACATTTCTGAAATGTGTTCACAACTGGATTACTTGCATAGAATACTGTCAAAAGGATGCAGCAATCACATTAGCTTTTTAATTATTTCTTCATTTGTTCTTTAATTAAAGATTACTTAAAAAAAAAAAAAAAAAAAACAAAGAAACTACACAAAATGTAGCATCACTTGAAATACTAAACAGTGCCACAGTGAAATGAAGATCCAGGACAAATAATGCAGTTGGCTCATTTGAACTACAATCGCACAGGCAATTCTTTGCTTAATTTATACGGAAGAGCCCCGGACTTTATTGCTCCTGACACTTGTATTCACCACGTCACATACTAGAGTAAGATAACCCCAGATTCTGGAGGTGGTTTTCCTAGGATGAAATGAGTAAGCCAATCAGCATAGAATGAGTGGGTCAATCATTTGCAGAATGTTTCTATAGAAGTTTGCAAACTTTCTTTACAAAGGCTTGGAAAGCACCCAAATGCACCTAAGGTAATGGCCATCTAGGCTCAGGATTGAAAAAAAATAAAGAGCTGGAACCTATCAAAGGAGCTCTGGTGGTGTAGTAGTTAAGGCATTCAGCTGCTAACCAAAAGGTCAGCATTTTGAACTCACCAGCTGCTCCACTGGACAAAGATGAGGCAGTTTGCTTCCAGAGATTTACAGTCTTGGAAACTCAATGGGGCTAGCAGCTGAGTCTGAATCGACTTGATGGCAGTGAGTCTAGTCTGGTAACCTATCAACCTCTACAAGCAAATGCCTTAACGAATGAGTGGAACTCTACACAGAAGTGACATAAAGAAAATCCTACTCTGTCCAGGGATGGGGGTGCTGAGATCACTGGCAGGAGAATCCTGGTCTACCAGGTGACACATTTTTATGATGAGACTGCCACAGTTTTTAATGACATCTCATGTACCAGGTTATCCTGCACTTTCAGCTCAAACTCTGAGCCTACTAAACTGTCCTGCACAGGAAGGGACACAGTTACCAGCTCTCACAGGAGTCTGGCCCCTCTGGCACATAAGCTGCCTTCTGGCTCAGATGCCAGCCTCTTCTGGCTTCAGTTAAAATAAACTGGCCCCACCCTGGGACAACTCAAATTAGTTTATAGTCAAAGATCAATTTTCCACCTAAAAAACTGGTGTGAATACCATGGAAGTCACACCCAGAAAGAGTGGGTGTCAGTCTTGGCTCTGTCACTTACTGACCTTAGTCAGTAAGGACCTCCTGTGCCTCAGTTTCATCATCTGCATGTGGGGACAGCAGTGACTCTTCCTCAGAAAGGTGTTGTGAAGATAAAAATGTTGACGTGACAAGGCACTTAATAAAGTTTAGCTCTTTCATGACCCACTTCCACCTAAAGCACTGCCTGAGGTAATCCTCCCTCTCTGATGGTTTGGATTTTTTTTTTTATTTAAAAGTAGTAAAATCTCATTGTAGAAAAATGGCAAAGCAAAGTAAAAAGAAACAGAAAAAATGATCACCTCAAATCCCATCACCCAATCAATAGTAATCACACTAATATTTTGGCACAGGTCATCTTAGTCTTAATTCTGTTTATGTTTTATAACAAATATATTTTTAGAAAATTTAAAAAATACAGAAAAAGTATAAAGAAAAAAAATTACCATTATTAACTCCATCACATAAAGCCAACCAACTCTGTTATTCTGACATTTTTCCTTCCAATGTTTAGGCCAGATATTTTTAGAAGTGTAATACACTGATTATGATTAGGCTAAATCCTTCCCCCCGCCCCCAGGTAAATATATTTCTATAAATCTCTGTAAACAAAGCATTACTTACTGTTTTTACCATCCCTAAGAGTCATGTTTCTAGTGTAAGAGATATTCAGTCTTCTTCCACTGCTAGATGCAAATGGAGAGAACTGATCTAGAAAAAAATTAAAATTCAACAATGAAGTTATGCCCATTGAGCCTACTAGATTTCTAACTTACAAAAGAAAACATACAATGCAGGTCCTAAACTGGCAGCTGAAATGAGTTTTTTTTTTTTGTTCTTTTCATTGTTTTAAATTTAGGAACTTTCATTTACATCTTAGGAAATTCTATATGAAAAGTCCCAGTTTCTCTTGAAAAATCAAAATATTTGTAATCTAAACTCTCATCCTCTGGTGGCAGGAAGTGCACAGCAGCCACCCTCTTTTGAATGGACAAATCCAATCCTGGTCACCAAAATCTCTACCCCTCACTATTTTCCCTTCCCCAGGCTGCTTTTACTCTGGTATGTTATTGGTCAACCCAACAGGTGTTTGCATGTCGATCTTCTCTCGGACAATATCCAGGAGCTACAGCAAAGCTAAACCGAAGTAATTGATGCTGAAGCTCCTATCTATGCCAGTTATAAATTCAAAAAGGGGAAGGTGAGAGCAAGAGGGCACTCCATTCTGAAAATGATGAATTTAGGCTCAGGAATACCACACAGGACATATTTAGATGCACTTCATTTAACATAAGAGGATAAAATGAGGATAGAGCACAAATCTCCTAAAAACGTAGTTACACATTTGAAGCTTTCAATGATGCTTTATCAAATGAATTTAGAAAATAAAGATCCTAGATGATAAAGAGCTAAATAGATTTTTGTTTTCTCCTGTTTGTGCCAAAGGTCAGAATTAGCCTGAGTAAACATATTATAGCAGTCCCTGGGGGGCACAAATGGTTAAGCACTCAACTGCTAGCTGAAACAGTGGTGGCTCGAACCCACCCAGAGGTGTCTTGGAAGACAAGTCTGGTAACCGGCTTCTGAAAGGGCACAGCCTTGAAAACCCTATGGAGCAGTTCTACTCTGATACACATGGGGTCGCCATGATGGCAACTAAGGACAACAATAATAAATATAATATGGAGCAAGTTCAGGAGAGCTCAGATTTTGGCTCAATTTAAAGGGAAGAACTTTCTAATGAAGAGTGGACCAAAACTATATATAGTAAGCTACCTTATGAAGTAATGCATTTCCAGCTTCCTGAGGTGTTAAGAAGAGGTTGGGTAATAACTTAGTGGGGATGTGGAGGTGAGATGCATATAACTGGTAGCCAGGATGAACCCCTGCCATGGTCCTTCCTAATCTCTGATTCGATGATACTAGGAAGTACTTAGGTCTCTATGGAGACAAAAATTCAACCATAAAATGCAGAAAGAGGTTAGAGAATGAGACTAGGGAACAGCTCAATAAAAAGTTATGGGCAATTCAAGGGCATTGGAGTCTCTAGTGCTCTATCTCTAGAGCCTGGGACCAATGAAGTTGTTTTAGGTACAGAGGGTACAGCAAAGTAGGCCAAGAGGAAGAGTGAGCAAAAGAAGTTGGAAGGGATCAGCACAGAACAGGGGAAGAACTAGTGTCTGGCTGAAAGGAGACCTATCTCTATAATGTTAGGTGATTTGTTAAGTCCTACTTAATAATAAGGTTTATGGGTGTGTTCATGACATATGGAGACTCTCCTTCCAACTAAAAAACCCATGACCACAGGAGGGTGTCAACCACTGCAAGAAGAGAGGGACAAAAGTGGCATAAAGAAATAAAAGTACATTCAATGAGAATTTATAAAAACTTGGCAAGCAGAGGAAAGAAAAGCATTCCATACCTTGTGCCTGAAGTTTGAAAGCATCAGTCATAGCTTTCTCTTTAAGGATGAGGCCCAGGGCTGCCTGGCACAAAAATTCCTTGGCTGTGGCCTTCCGAGTGGGAAACAGTTCTCTGTGATGCTGAGGAATGAAGTCAGTGTGCACATTCCCAGCTGCAAACTCTGGGTGGCCAGAGAGGCTGAGTAAGAAGTCAATATTGGTGTGGAGTCCGACGATCTAGGAAGAGAATAAAGCCCTCAGACCCTCCTGAGTGGGGAAAAGAACACACTCAGAAAAACATTTCTATGGCATCTGCTTTTTCTACTAACTACCTTTGACAAAGGAAAATTCTCAGGAAAAATACAAAAACTCCACAAAGGTACCAAGTGGTGATAGAAAAACTCCTAGGAAAATGAAAAAAAAAAAAACAAAAAACAAAAAACCAACAACAAAAAAACCACCCTACCATCCCTACAGGAGCTCTGGTGGTGTAGTGCCTAAGGCACCTGACTGCTAACCAGAAGGTTGGCAGTTCAAACCCACCAGCCACTCCCTGGAAGGAAGATTGGGCAATCTAGTGATACTGCCTCAGAAACTCAAGGCGGGGTCACTATGAGTCAGAGATAACTTGACGGCACATAACAACAACAACAACAACAACAACCATCCGTACACATCTGGATTTGAAACTTAAAACTCTATTTTACTACAATAAAGTAGAGAGGAAATGGCATTGGAGCAGGTGGTATGAAGATACTTAATTGGCTTATATTAGGAAGGTGTTAAATGTTAAGAAACATAAATGGGATTCATTTGTAAGATACTGAAGACCTGTCGCGTACAACACTCCTCCAAATTGGAAGACTACAAATAGCAGAAATGATTAAGATTGCTACAGTGGGGAGAGGATGGGATGAAATGACTTCAAAGGGAACTCCCTTCCAACACTAAGATCCAAATTTTATGCACAAAAAGAACCACAAAAAAGGCATAAAATTAATCAAAGTCTAACCAATAAACAGGAGGATCAAAGCTATCTAAAGGCCAGGATCATTTATTCATTCATTTTATAGCCATTTACTCAGTACGTGTTAGGTGCCAGGTCCTGATCGAGGTACTGGGGACATAGTGAGAGACAAAACAGATGAAGTCTCTATCCTCACAGAATTTACATTCTAGGAGGGAGAAAACACACACACACACACACACACACGATCATCCAATACCATGTCAGGTGCTATCAAGATAGTAAGGCTGGCTAGGGGACAGAGAAGGAGCTCTGGTAGCATAGTGCCTAAGGCACTTGACTACTAACCAGAAGGTTGATGGTTCAAACCCACCAGCTACTCCTCGGAAGGAAGATTGGGCAATCTACTTCCATAGTGATACCACCTGAGAAACCCAAGGAGGGGTCGTTATGAGTCAGGTCCAAACTCAATGGCACATAACAACAACAACAGGGGACACAGAATAGCAAAGGATCCTATCATCAATGGAGCAGCCTGAGAAGGGCTTTTGGAGGTGGTGCCATTTGAGCAGGCGCTGAGGATAGTGAGGAGGGAGCCCTGAAATCACGTGCGGACATGATAACAGGAGACATAGTTCCATGCCGAATTTGTCTGAGAATGGCATAAAGAGGCCACTGTGGTTGAAATTACAGAGATCAGAGGACAATCAAATTAGTAACATATAACAATTTGAATACCATGGATTAAAAAATCCTTTTATGAAGTTGAATCAGTGTGGTACAGGACCTTCTGCACCAAGGAAGTTAATATGCTACAGAAAAGCACTAACTCTATTGAATGAAGCTGATCATAACTGTTTTACTTACAAAGACTAGAAAACCAGACTATCGGCTATACTCCTGTATTCTCATTTACAGAAAGAAAAGGAATTTCACATTGGATTTTACTGAAGTATGACATTGATCCTGACAGTTTTATTTCCACAGCATTTCTTTTTCAAGTGACATCTAAAAGCCTTGTAATCCTATTCTGACCCACAATAAATTGCCCCTGTGGAATTATTTTGTTTATGACATGTGTGCAGTGACAAAGAGACAAAGACTGACCAGTCATGACAGACATGCCTGGCTGTAGAAAGAGAGAATACCAGGGTCACTGACATGACCCCAGATTACCCACATTGTACTGACGGAGGCTGTATCTCAGTTTCGTCAAGGCCGCCTGGCGACTAGCAGCCCACACGACCAGCTTCGCAATCATGGGGTCATAATGCACTGAGACTTCATCTCCTAAAATTTAAAAATCACAGTAACCAGAGTCAAACTGAGAGAGATAAAATATGAATTGAGCATATGTGACCAGCAAGACATTCTGTTGAGGATTTGTGTACATTTTCCCACTTAATCTTACCAAATTCCTGCAAGATGGATATCATTATCACCATTTTATTTACGAGAAAACTGAGCCTCAGGTCACCCAAGATTACCAGGCCATAAGATAATGATTCGATGGCACACAGACTGGCTTTCCTCTATCCTAGCTTCTTCTGAAGTGCCTTCCTTTTTCATTTTGGAAGCCAGTGTAAACTCCCTCCACCTTCTCACATCACATTCCCTTCTGTCCCTGGCATTCCCCTCTCTCCACTTCCCCAGTCTCCTCATTGGTAAAATCAAAATGGCACTTCTCTACCTTCTAGGGTTGCTAGGAAGACTGGCAATAAAGTGCCAAGTGCCATACCTGCAGAGCCACTAAACAAGTGGTAGCTATCACTACTACGATGGTTAGAGTCCTAGAGAACAAGAATCTGAACCATGGCATGTTTCACTGGTTAGAAATGGTTCAAGTCAAAAGGATGTGACAGATTATAAAGAACGCTATTTCTAGGACCTTTTTGTGATGTGGGCAGTCACCTGACTGTTCTGAATGCCAGAGCGTTCATCTATAACATTAAGGGGTTGGAATGATCAGGTATGTCTAGGCAGGTAGGAGTGTGCCCATGACTGTGTACAAGGTAGACAAATGATGTTTCTACACATTTATATGTGCTGTCTGAGAATGTCCAGGTATATGGTAGAGCTGACAAGGGACAATGTTGTGGTGGTTTCTTGCCCATATCCAGCTACTCAAGGGAGTAAGTAGTTGGACCTGTGGGCTTGGGACCATGGTTGCAGGCAACATCAAGCTCAACTGATATAATTTGTTGTTGTTAAGTGCCGTCGAGTCGTTTCCGACTCAAAGTGACCCCATGCACAGCAGAACGAAACACTGCCCGATCCCGCGCCAGCCCCACAATCCCTGCTATACTTGAGCCCATCATCACGGCCACCGTATCAATCCATCTCGTTGAAGGCCTCCCCCTCTTTTGCCGACCCTCCACCCTACCAAGCATGACATCCTTCTCCAGGGAATGGTCCCTTCTAACAACATGACCAAAATAGGTGAGACGAAGTCTGGCCATTCTTGCTTCCAAGGAGCATTTTGGCTGCACTTCCTCCAGGACAGATCTGTTAGTTCTTTTAGCAGTCCACGGTACTTTCAGCATTCTTCACCAGCACCACAACTCAAAAACATCAACTCTTCTTCGGTCTTCCTTATTCATTGTCCACAACTGATATAATACACTACACAAAAACATTGTTGTATATCCTACTTTGGTTAGCAAGGATTACGGTCTTAATAGCTTGCAAGCAGCCATCTAGATTCAACGATGGGTCTCTCCTCACCCAGAGCAAAGAAGAATGAAGAAAACCAAAGACATATGGCAACAATTAGTCCAAGGGACTACTAGACCATGTGATCCTCAGCCTATACGACCATGAGACCAGAAGAACTAGATGGTGCCCAGACACCACTCTCAACCACTAGGAAGGGGATCAGTGCAGGAGATGCTGGACAGAGTGGGAGAACAATGTGGAACAAAATTCAAAATCATTTAAAAAAAAAAAAAGACCAAGTTTGCTGGCTTGATAGAGCCTGATGAGTCCCCTGAGACTATGGTCCCTAGTTACTCTCCAGGTCTGGAACTGAACTCACTCCTATGGCTTCCAGCCAAACAACAGATAGTAATATCAAGTGAACATTTACATCAGGTAGATGCGCTCCTTGGAGTGATCAATAGTGGGAGAACAGAAGGGCAGTGTTTGCATTGGGAGACAGCTCCCAGGGGGCAGGAGTGCATGGGAGGGAAGGACACAGGGAAGAGATAACTACAGAAAGTAAGAGAGCTATTACTCTGTTGGAGAAGTACAGTCAATGTCATAAAACAAAATGTGTATGAACTGCTTTACGGAAAATTAATTAGCTCTATACACTTTCACTCAAGTCACAATAAAAATGAGAAAAAAAAAAAAGGTGTTGGATTATACTCCCTTTCCTCCCTCCTTCCCTCCACTTACTCACCAACACATATTGAATAGCCTGCTACTAGGCCTAGGCTTTGAAAAAGGCCTAACCTCTCCCTTAAGAATCTTATAAGCTAATAGGGAAACTAGACAAGGAGTAAAAGACATAATAAGGGTGATGTCTGAGGATAGAAGAAGGTATTCAGGGAAAAGAGAGGAGATGAGCTGAGCAAAGTTTCTTAGACTAGATTACACTCCCAATGCTGACATGTGAATCTGGCAGTCTTTCCCAGAATGCCATCTCTGCTGTCCTTTAAGTACTGTTATTAAATCACACTGCAAACTCTGCTTGCCAAAAAAGTTCCTCCTTTTCTGTTCTAAGTAATCTCTTTTCTCTCTGTTCTGCTGTTAAGTAAGTAAGTAATAAATAAATTACCAACTACCAAATCTAGTGGCTTAGCCAAGAGCTCCCAAAATGATGCCAAAATCAAATCAAACTCACTGCCATCGAGTTGATTCTGTCTCACAGCAACTCCCACTGGGTTTCCAAAGTTGTAAATCTTTATGGAAGCAGACTGCCTCATCTTTCTTCTACAGAACAGCTGGTGGGTCCAAACCACCGACTTTCTGGTTATAGCCAAATGGCTTAACTATACCACCAGAACTCCTAATTTGTCATCAGGAAGTCCTAACGCCCAGCTAACTCAACTGGCATAACACAGTTTACAAAGACAATGTTCTACATCCATCCTATCATGGTGATTAGTGACTGGATCTTAAAATCTAGTGAGTGGCCATCTGAGTTACAATCATTGGTCTCTTTCTGTCTGAAGCAAAGAAGAATGAAGAAAATCAAAGATGCATGGAAACAAACAGTCTAAAGGACTAATGGACCACATGAACCTCAGCTTCCTTGACCCTGAGACCGGAAGAACTAGGTGGTGCCTGGCTACCACTACTCACTGATCTGAAAGGGATCAGATGGGAGGTCCTGGATAGAATGGGAGAAACAAATGGAACGACACTCAAGATCATTAAAAAAAGACCAAGCTTACTGGTCTGATAGAGACTGGTGGAAACCCCTGAGACTGTGGCCCTTAGTTATCCTTCAAGCCTGGAACTGGATTCACCCCTGTGGCTCATCTTTCAGCAATGCAGAGACAGGCCATTGAATTGAACAATAATACCAGAGGGATATGTCCTCCTTATAACAACTGGCCACCTAAGATCAAAAGATCAGTTATTACCTATGTATAAAGCTCAGAAGGTAGGAAGGGATAGGAAAAGACAAATGGAAACAGGAAACACAAGGAAGGAATGGGAAGCTTTCCTCTTAAAAACTGTCCTGATTACACCAGCCTGACATATAATTTCTTAGTTCTGAGAATTGCTACATGCCATCACTTACCATCTGTATAACTCCTCTGGCAAACAGTAGATAGTGGTGGCTCAGAGTATAGACTCTGGAACTAGACTGCCTGAGGCTTCAAGGTGACCGTGGGTAAGTAACTCAGTATCTTGTGCCTCAGTTTCCTCATCTACAAAATGGGGATGAATGACAATGATGCCCACTCATAGGGTAGTTCTGATGGTTAAAATGCATTGCATTGCCATCAAGTTGGCTCTGACTCATAGCAACCCCTCCTTGGGTTTCTGAGGCAGAATCACTATGGAAGTAGATTGCCCAACCTTCCTTCTGGGGAGTGGCTGGTGGGTTTGAACCATCAGCCTTCTGGTTAGCAGTCAAATGCCTTAGGCACTACACCACCAGAGCTCCCGATGGTTAAAGGAGGCCATATATAAAAATCATTTAGAACATAGTTGTTGTTGTTATGTGCCATCGAGTCGGCCCCGACTCAGAGACCCCTCCTTGGGTTTCCGAGGCAGTATCACTACGGAAGTAGGATTGCCCAACCTTCCTTCCGAGGAGTGGCTGGTGGGTTTGAACCACCAGCCGTCTGGTTAGCAGGCAAGTGTCTTAGCCACTATGCTACCAGAGCGCCCTAGAACATAGTAAGCGCTACATAATCGTTAATTATGACCACTGTTATTAGTCATACACTTAACTGTGATTGTTTCTGTACTGTTATTTCTTTTGTTATTTCGCCTATACTAAGTTTATATCTAAATTCTCCAGTTTGACTTTAAGTCCCTTAAAGGCAGAGTGCCTTATACATAGTAGGTAACCAGAAAAACCCAAATCCACTGCTGTCAAATTGATTTCAACTCATAGGGACCTCATCTTAAATCATATTGGGAACTAGGAAAAGTAAAAAAATAAACAGTAGACACAAATAATTTCTTGCTTTGCTTTAACTAAGTATCATTGCATTTTAAAACAAGAGGGCATTGTTTAAAAATACCAGTTATTCTTTGAAAAACGAAGGCTAATGAGGTACCAATTACATCCTTTATTTTAAAGTATGCTGGACACTTCCACAAGACCAGAGATAAGACTCTGCCCCAAATAATAATGCACTGAAAAATCAAAGAGAGTGAGCCACTCTGTTTTATTTTACTTTACCTTGACGTACTCCAGTTTCAATCCTAGTGGAACGGTCTGCTTGAGGGGTAGAGAGATGTAATAACGGCCCAGCCCCTGGCATGAAGTTATTGTTAGGATCTTCTGCATATATCCTAGCTTCAAAGGCATGGCCCTGGAGAGTTATCTCTTCTTGGCTTAAAGGAATCTTCTCTCCTGCTGCAATCTGATAAGAGAAGAGTACATGCTTCTTGTGAAAATCCACCTCACAGCAGCTACGAGGCTTTAGTAAATCGATGAGCTTGCCTTTTTCTATGTCAAATATACATTTGGGCTTTAAAATGGAGCCAAATGAAAAACTTTACTTACTCTAGCTACTTGAGGATTGGTAGTGTAGTGCCTAAGGCACTTGACTGCTAACCAGAAGCCAGGCGGTTCAAACCCACCAGCCACTCCTTGGAAGGAAGGTTGGGCAATCTACTTCCATAATGATACCACCTCGGATACCCAAGGAGGGGATGGCACATAACAACAACAACAACACTTGAGGATTAGGCAAAAAACAGAAAAAGATTATAAAGCAGATGCAGCTTCAGAAAAGTCTATTAATAAATTACAATGGGTTTCTAGAGTTTTTACAGGGATAAAGTAGGTAAACTGAAGACTAAATCATAAACAGAAAGATTTGTGTTTGTTGAATATAACCAAACCAAAACATGTTACTGGGAATGAAATTTCAGTTTTCATTTAAAACATTAATGCTCAGTTCTCAGCTCAATCTTTTGATAATAAATCATCATGTTTAGGACCGCATTCACAGCCATCCCACGTTGTCATCTTCATCAGTGAGCGGGTGAGAAAGCAAAACAGAAAGGGGAGCATGATGGCGCCCCAACGTTCACACATCTTGCAAGCTACTGGATTACAAAAAGGATGATTATAATGGCTTATCACTACTACAGTTAGCAGTATTTTGGCTATTATGTACCAATGTAACAAATCTCTCAACTACTAAAACTTGAAAAACACACTTTGGAAGACACACCGTCACTCTTGGTCTTTATTCTTCCCTTCAAGTTTTTCTCCAAAATGAGAAAATGACAACCTGAGATAGCAATATAGATAAAGGGAAAACAAAAACAACTCTAACTAACTTAGAGTGATGCTGAATTAAAAAAGGGAGCATAAAACAAGAGCCAGGGTTTCCTCTCTTTGAATCTGTCTGTAATAAAGAAAAAGAACCACAGTAGTTAAGAATGAAAGGGAAAGGGACTACATTGAATGTCTTTATGGCATGGGTTTCAAACTACAGACTCTGTTGCCATTTTGCCTAGGTTCAAATTCTCTATTTCCTCTGTGACCCGGGCAAGCTTCTTTCCCTCTCTGCTTCAGAGAAAAGTGCCTGGCATATAGTCAGAACTATATTTCCTAGTCCTGACGAGCTAGTGTTTTGTTCTTATAATTTAAAACAAAATACTCTTCAATGTTTTCATAAAGAATTCTACTTGTTTTAATTTAGAAGAGGAAAAAGATGTTCATATTTCAATACGTGATCTTATATCTGACTATCTAGGCGCATTTTAACCTGACCTGTCTCTGCTTGCTTCCTCTGAAACTGTTTCTGAGCCCAGAAAAGACTGGCCCCACCATGTCTCTGGGTATTTGGGAATCTGTGCTGAGTTCTTTTAGGCTTAGAAACCAACCAAATCTACAGCCATTGACTTGATTCTGACTCATAGTGACCCTATAGGACAGAGCAGAACTGCCCCAGAGGGTTTCTAAAGCTGCAAATCTTTATGGAAGCAGATTGACACACCTTTCTCCCTCAGAGCAGCTCGTTGGTGGGTTTAAACTGCTGATCTTTCAGTTAGCAGCTGAGTGCTCTCAGCCAATACACCACCTCTTTCAGGCTGAGACTGACTATTTGGAACCTATGGGCCTTTGATGTTTCCACCAGCTTCACCTGACACTGCTAACTATCTTCATATTACAGTCCAGTTTCTGGATGCTCACATCATTGAATACTTATTTCAGGAAGCCTCTGACTATGGAGACAGGTCCTGGAACTTGAACTCTTGCTTCACCAAATGGCAAATACCCATGTTTTACCTCTGCTTGGAAGCTGGTCTCCAAAGTACCTTGAACTCTATAAACAGAGTCCAATAGTGCCCTATAGTGAGCTCCAGAATCCCTCCACAGAAGATAAAAGCCTCTGCCTCTTTCTGTAAGGAGCTATGGTGGCTCAGTTTCTAAGCACTCATCAGCTGTTAACTCCATGGGACAAAGATGTGGCAGGTTACTTTTGTAAAGAAGCAGAAAATCCTATGAGGCACTTCTACTTTGTCCTAGTGGGTCGTTATAAGTCAGAATTGACTTAGCTACAATGGGTTTTGATTTCCGGAGAGCCTTGCCAAGCTCCTAGAATTTCTTGTGCTTCAGAAATAAATATCTGCTATTGCCCTAACATCCAAAAACTTTCTCTTTCCTTGACTCTTAGAAGCCTTTTATCTTTCCCAATTTCCAAATTCTAGACCCTTTTTGATTACAACTTAAAAACCAAAACATACCTCATTTTTCTTGAATTCTGGAAATAAGCACTCATTTCTAGAACTTTCCAAGTCTACTATGGTTTTTCCTGACACTCACTAATGCTTACTAGCCTATGGGCCTGATTTTTCATTTGCTCCTAAAGGCTACAGAGGCTCAGAAGAATCTTTTGGGCCAATGGGAACCACCAATCATCCCCAAGGAGCCAGCAAGAGGAAGATCATATCAGAGTCCACAGAATTTCTGTAAAGACAAAATGATCAAAATAATCAAGACTTACACATTATAACATGAAAAAAAAAAACTTCAACTTGGGATATATAAAGAACTAAGAATGCTACAGAGATTAAGAATAGACTGACACTACTTTGAAAATCTTTAAAAAATATTAAAACAAAAGGTGGTTGAGGTAAAATCTATCACTTTCAATAAAGAGAATAAAAAGATTGTTATTATTGGGAGGAATATGCTTTGTGGAACTCTGACTTAGACCAGTCCTTCTCAAACTATCTAAAGGAACAGTTGTGGACTTAGACTTTTGTAAAATACAGTAAACATGCCATAGCAATGTCCAGATGCTGTTTCTAAACACTTACTCTGAATGTCTATACTTATCTCATCATGGGTCACTGACAGTTTGTGGATGGGCACTGGCTTGTGGACCACACCACTATTCTAGACCATTCCCTTGGCTCTTCATTCCTAATTTTGCCTTAGCTCTTATCATCTTGACTAGAATTTATCATGCTTTTCAAATCTAATGACGGCCTATCCCAGAATGATGTGGCCAAAGAACCTGAGGCTTTGCTATTGAGATGATGTCATGAGCAAGTTTCACAAGTTGCTTGGTGGCAGCTCACTTCATGCCTAAGGGGAAATAATGGAAAGTGACTGTTCTGGTTACCTAGTGCTGATCTGACAGGAATATACCACAAATGGGATGGCTTTAACAAACAGGACTTTATTCTGTTACAGTCTTGGAGGCTAGTAGTCTAAGTTCATAGTGCCAGCTCTAGGGACTGGGTGAAAGCCCCTCAACCTTGGGCTTTATCTCTGCCTCTTATTCTCAGCCCACTAAAGCTGGAGGCTTTTCTTCACTCAGGTAGCTGCTGGCTGCTGAGGCTGACAAACTCAAGGTTGACAAGTGAAAAGACACAGTCCCAATACTACCAAACAACACGGCAGCCCACTAATTCAAGTTTAGAAAAAGTCCCGAGATTGGTAGGGCATGGCAGGCTGCTGAACAACGACTTGGCTACATGCAGAGTTCAAATATGCCAGAAAGCTAGAGACCTTCCTCAAAGCTGCTTCTTATATAGTGGAAGAAGCCCACATCTCTAAAGCAGCTACTCAGCTGCCCAAGCAGATTCCACCATGGAGTTAATTACCAATCTCACCATGGGGACTAACTATATCTAGCTGTCCAGCCATACAACCAGGCCCAGCCAAGTTGACATACAACCTTAACTACCACAGTGACTGACTGAGTCAATAAAGGGACAACAATGTCACAGTATCAAATGCAGCATCACCTTTTACCTCCCATTTTCCTGTCCTCATCACAACCACCAAGAATCAAATCCTTGTTCAAAGTGACATCTTCTTGAAGAAGGCCAGAAGGTAACTTATTTTCAAGATTGATCTGTAATAGGAAAAATATTCTCTCACCCTAAGCTGCCACTCCACCAAGTCAGTTCCTGTGATCATCTCAGTGACAGGATGTTCTACTTGCAGCCTCGTATTCATCTCCATGAAGTAGAAATTGTGCTTCGAGTCCATGATGAACTCCACAGTTCCTGCAAGATAAAATGCAATGGCCACAAATCAATAGTATATAGTCAGTAGCAAATCAGAATTGTTCAGGGTATATCATATCAAGTTTTACTGCTGCCATCATTCAATGGTAAGCATTTTGTACTTCAGAAACATTTCACATATTGCAGCAAATGATTCTCAGTCAAAAACAGGATGCTGCGTGAAATTCAGCAACAGAAAAGTCTATTTGGGGTTTTGAGCAAATGGTAGGCCCAGGTTAGGAACCAATCTCAGCTGTCTTAGCAGTGAGAACATGGTGGAACCATGTGTTCCTGCTTCAGTGCACCAAGATCCTCAGCAGCCTCACATGTGGCTTCCTAGCTCACTCTAACCCTGTGGAGAAAAATAAAATACTATTTTTTTTCCCTTCTGCTTGTGGACTCTTGGAAGTTTCCTTAAAAAGTCCTTTCACTGGTGACCCATCAAGAGAGATTTTAGCCACTACATCTTATGTTAATGTCTTATCTATCGGGATTCTACAAAACACTAGAAAAAATTCCCTAAGCTTTATTAAGATATAATTTTAAACAATGCAATGGATCCATTTAAAGAGTATATGTGCTGAGTTTTGGCAATCATATAGTCATGTGACCACTGCCACAATTAAAATATAGAATGTTTCCATCATCTAAAAAAGTTCCCCCATTCCCCTCTGCAGTCAGTCTTTTCCTCAGAACCCTAGTGCCAAGCTTTCTGTCTGATCTGCTTTCTGTCATTATAGGTTTGCTTTTTTTCAAATTTAAAATAAATGAAATCACAGACTATATAGTCTTTCGTGTTTTTTCACTTAGCCTAAAGTTAGTTCCATGTTTTTCAATGTTTTGCAAATTGTGATCAGAAAAAGCAATTCAGTGATTTTATTTTGAAATAAAATAGAAGAGAATAGGAAATATCAAAAATCATCATACATAATTAGAGTTAAGTATATTCAATGAAATTTTTGGTTCAAATATGTATGTATGTAAGGAGAGCTGATGGTATAGTGATTAAAGCATTAAGCTGCTAACTGAAAAATGTCGGTGGTTCAAACCTACCAGCTGCTGCACGGAAGAAAGATTAGGCAGCCTACTTCTGTAAAGATTTACAGCCTTAAAAACCCAATGGGGGCCGCTATGAATTGGAATTGATTCGATGGCAGTGAGTTTGGCACACACGTTTATGTATATGTACTGAGTCTCAATATAAAATGTATTTCTTACTGATCTCATCAGAAGTTTGAAAGTCACTGATTTAAAAGCTGTAAGTTTCTTTGGTCTTCTGAGAAATAAAGAAATTACCATTTCTTCTCTTCTATTGAGAAATAAATTTTAACGGACCTGCTCCCACATAATTTACAGCTTTAGCAGCTCTGACTGCAGCTTCTCCAAGCCTTCTTCTTACTTCAGGTTCAATTCCAGGCTATGAAAAAATATTTTAAATAAATCTCCATTAGTACCTTGGCTTACTAGAGATTTCCAATTAAAATTGAGTATTATATTTATATCTATCAAATACACTATTAAAAAGATAGATTGTAAGGATAAAGAGCTACTGTTATACATTTCATCAAGAAACAATGCCCTGCACCACAGTTTAACTGTCACTAGATCAATGTTTAGGAAGCCCTGTTGGCACAATGGTTAAACACTCAACTAAATGAAAGATTGTTTCCATCTAGTCCTTCTAGGGGAGAGATTTTGGTGATCTGTTCCCACAAAGAATACAGCCTAGGAAACCTCTGGGGCAGTTCTGCTTTGTCACACGGGGCCACTATGTCTAAATCCACTAGATGGCACCTAACAACAACACACTAAAGGTTTTTTTTAAAAAACATACCAAAGTTTAATGGTTCTGCTAGTAGTTTCCATGAATTGCAGATATTACTCAATATAACTACATATCTTTACCCCTTGTACCTACATAATAGTTTCCATGACTACATGTCCATTTAAAATTACATATATATAAGTTAATAATGTTCATAAAGAATTAAGTATGTTAATAAATAAGCAAATCTTTTCACATTTTCAAAACACAGTGCTCCATGTGTGAGTTTTGAGTAATTACCACTTGAAAATAAGCTGTACTGAAATTATTGTTGATATAAACTTCAAATGGTATTATATATTCTGTGAGAGGTTAAAGTCTGAATATAATATGAGGATAACAAAACTGATTAACTAGATCCTCAGATTCTTGACTTTTAAGAAATACATAGTGAACATCCAAAAATCAGTTGGATTCCTCTACACCAGCAAACAGATTGCTGAAAAAGAAATAAGGAAATCAATACCATTTACAAAGCTACCAACAAAATAAAATACTTGGGAATAAATCTTACCAGGGACACAAAAGACCTCTACAAAGAAAACTATAAAAAACTACTTCAAGAAACCATAAGAGATATACATAAATGGAAGAACATCCCATGCTCGTGGATAGGAAGACTGAACATTGTGAAAATGTTAATTCAGCCCAAAGCAATCTATGCATTCAGTGCAATCCCAATCCAGATCCTATCAACATTCTTTAAGGATATGAAAAAAACAATCACTAGCTTTATATGGAAAGGAAAGAGACCTAGGATAAGCAAAGCACTATTGAAGAAGAACAACAAAGTAGGAGGTCTCATGCTGCCGGATCTCAAAACCTACTATACAGCCACAGTAGTCAAAACTGCCTGGTATTGGTATAATGGCAGACACACAGACCAATGGAATAGAATTGAGAACCCAGAAACAGATCCATCGATTTATGGTCAGCTGATCTATGACAAAGGGCCAAAATCCATTAAATGGGGGAAGAGAATGTTTGTTTAATAAATGGTGCTGTCAAAACTGGATATCCATTTGCAGAAAAATGAAACAAGATCTGTACTTGATATTTTTACACAAAAAATAACTTCAGATGGATCAAAGACTTAAATGTGCTTACTCACTGATCTGCACTGAACACTTTCCCTTGTTACCCTGCGAGAGAGACCGGGTCTCCGGGAGCAAGGTAAGCAC